TTCAATGCCCAGCTGAACGTCGTTCTTGAGATGAAGATACCTGATTGTCTTTGGACTGAGATGTGGTGAATGGAGGCCAAAGCCATGGCAGCGGCTGTGGCCCAGCCCCCGAGAGCAAGAACTCATGGGGGCACAGTAACTCTGCTCATCAGCCAATGGGGAAACACTCCATCCCATGTCCGTGTGCCCCACAGTCCCACAGAGATGGTCATCAGGTAAGGCTAACACCTTCTCAGGGAACCGCGCAGCTCGCTCTCCTCTGAATCCTGTCCTACATCAAAGGACTCTGGAGGAGGGTGCTTCCTGCATCTCCCCCTCCCTCGGATTGTTCAGGGCAGTGGTGGCCTCAGCTTAAAGCAGGGAGCCTGGAAAGAGTCCTCCCTGGCATGCAGACTAGCTGCATGATTCTGGGCAACTCTCACAGCCACTCTGTGCCTCGGTTGCCTCATCTGTCAGATGAGGAGGTGAACTCGATGCCCTCTAAGAGTCCTTCCGGCTCTAACTCTATTATTATCCTTTGACTCAACCTTGGACACGGCACCAGATAGGTCTGCCCAAATCGAGGGTGCACCTCAGACTCTACTCAGCTTTTCTCCTCATCCAGCAGGACTCGAAGATGAATCAGCCACTTCCTCTCAAGCTTCTTGTCATTTCTGCTTCAGCAGTCAGGCCTTTCTTGGGCTCATTCAAGTCTAGGGTGGCAATTTCTCTTAACATTTTTTCTACTTTTTAAAAAATTATTTTTAAAGAATTTTTAAAGAATTCATCAACCATATCCAACAGAATGAATTCCAATAATCAAACTGCTCCCATCTGTACTGATAAGAACATTAACTCATTTTTTATGTTCCCTGTAGCTTTGTAGAGTACTTTCCCCCCATGACCCATTGAAGTAATGCAGGTATTATGAGACTGAGGCTCTCTGACTTATGCATGATTTTGAGTCAGAGTTTTAGCCCAAGTCTCCTGACCATAAATCCAGCATTCTAGATTATGGCTCCATGCCAGGATTATCATCTTTTTCCTGAATATATCATCTATTTCCATCTTCTGATCAAGGAATCATTACACACACCCCAAACAATACTTTCGTTTCTCTAATCATTGATACTCAACTAAAGCCCCATCCTGCCTGCTTACTTTCCTCATCCATAGATGTCTTCACAAATACAGGCTTGATCTACAAAGCATTTTCCCTTTGTCTTGTCTCTGTTTCTGCTGAATATTATTGCATTGCCATGTTCCAGTCATGAATCACATCCCACCAAGTCTCATTGATGACTGTAAGGTTGGAGTCACTTCCATCTGTTAAAATCTTTTAGCCATTTTGCTTGCTTTCCATACTCTGTTCATTTGTGTGTAGACTCCAAAGACTGTGGGTTTCAATGTCACCTTCTCAGATGTGGCTGTTACCCTCCATTGCTATTCTTTCTATGAGAGACTTGCTGTTTTCTGTGGTCACTGGCTTAGGGCTTTCTTCTTCCCTTTATTTTTACATGTCTGCCAAGGAGATGTGAAGCTAGGAATAAACATACTGCTGGTTGGGATGGGAATGGATGACGGTGATGATAGCATTTATATAGCACTTGAAAGTTGACAAAGAACCACACCTGCCATCTCATTCTCCAGTCATGTCCTGAGGACCGGCTGAATCTCAAAGAAAAAGCCTTGTTTCTCCTCACCTGCAAGAGACAGAGGTTGTATTGAAAGGTATCAAGGAGTTCCTGGAGGGATAAGTGAGCCAAGATGTGGAGTTTGGATGAGGTTTTCAGCAGGATAGAGAAGAAACTAAAGGGGAAGGAGAGGGGTCAGGTGAGCCTAGCCACCAGGGCTGGAACTGCTACAGCAGCCCTGTGGACCAAGGGTAGGGAAGAAAGAGGCAGAGCAGAAGATGATATTGGAGGTGATCGGGCAAGAGAGAAGGAGAGGAGATGGACTTGAGAGAGAGCAAAGAGGCATGGCCAGCCATGGCCATCAGCACCTTTGTCCATGAAAACAGTTAGGAACTGGAACAACTGCTGCTAGGGTGATAGGCAGATAGACAGATAGATAAATGGATAGATGGCTAGATGGCTAGATAGATAGATTAGATAGATAGATAGATAGATAGATAGATAGATAGA